TATTTTTATCATGCCTTACTGTAATTTGATCATGCCTTACTGTTTTTAATTACGCATTTGACCTTTTCTGAAATACATTTGTGTTTTTCTGAAATACTGTTGGAAAAAGTGTAGATATTTATATAAATTAAACCTCAATTTGTTACTATTTTAAATGAAAATTTATTTAATAGTGGTAGTTTGTGTGGTTCAGCTACATATAGGAACCGGTAATGCATATAACAGAGGTTTTCAATATAAGCCCAATCATGGCTTAAAAGCGGGATTTTCATACAAGCATTTCACGCTTATAAGCAACGAGTCTCAGGCATTTTCGGTGGTGCATATATCGGAAAGTATTATTAAATTGATACGGTAATGTACTCATGTAGCTATTTTAAAATTTACGCAAATTATATTAGGAAAACAATGCCGTCAGCAACCATGACTTGATTATCATCGGTCATTTGATGCACGGCTGCCTCAATTTCGGAACTAGAGAATTGTTCAGCATTATTTTCATTAATGTCTGCGGTGATACGCTCGAGAGATAAACTCTGTTCGCGAGCTTCTCGGAACAATCGTTGCAAACTGTTTTTGAAATCGGTCAACCTTGCTTGCGATATAGAGGGTGGTGTTTCTTCAGTGTTTTCTTCGATTGACTGTGAACCCCTATCGCCTACGGTAGATGGCTTGCGAACTGAAAGTGAACGTCTTGTTTCACGCCGAGTTAAGTCCCCAGCGTCTGGCTGAGGAGTTTCTACCTCTTCATCGGTATCATATACTACATTCGACGTCTCTTGCTCAGAAGGATCTTTGCGCGTCCTCTTACTTTTTCGAGGAGACTTCTGATTAGGAGTAGTTTCGTCTTCATCAGAAGAAACTCCATCACGTCGACGTTTATTACCTTTTTCTTTCTCCAATACTTTTTTGAAATAAGCAAACTGCACCAACTCTATAGCAGCTTGGGCATCATCAGCAGTTACAGTTTTTGACATTCTAGCTCGCGCATGGGCTGTAGCAAGTCGAATGAGAGTCTCCAAAGTTCGAGCAGTCACTGGTTGGGTTCGTGCAACATCCGATTGTATATTTTCTTGCGAACGTAAAGAGGAATACTCGGTAGCAATAGCTTCACATGCTTGTTCGCTCAACTTTGGTTTCATGCATTTTGCAATATGAATATATTTGCGCATAAAATCTACGGACAAAATTTTTTCTTGTCGCTTTCGCGATCTACCATGCAACAAAGGGTCGTATTTTTCATAGATTTCAGTTTCTTTTTTCTGTAAATTTATGATATATTATTAAAACTATTAAATTTAGTTACTAGTGTATCAAATTTACCGCGTCCGAGTTTGAAGTGAATGATAAAGAATCTGCATAAGAGCTTCCCATAGAAAGAGGTTCACCATCTGCTTCTTTAGGATTACTAAACACAAATACGACTGTTCTTTAAAATATAAAACGTAATAAAATATAAATTATACCGGTAACGGTGCATGCGCACAACATGATCAGAAATCATTTGATCAATATCGCTATCAATCACATCCAACATCACGAATAATAAGTCGAAACGCGAAAGAAGCGAATCTTGAAGCCCGATGTTCTCCATTGGTGTTTTGTATTGATCATACTAAATAAAAAATTCAAAATTAAGAACATTTCCAATGTATAAAAGTTTACTAAAACTTCTGTACCCTTCCATATACTGGATTAGCAGCTGCTAAAACTGAGCAACGTGCATTTAAAGACGCATGAATACCAGCTTTCGATATTGTAACACGACCTTGTTCCATTACTTCATGAATAGCAGTGCGATCAATGTCACTCATCTTATCAAATTCGTCGATACAAACAACACCCCGATCAGCTAATACCATTGCACCCGCTTCTAATCGCCTTTCACCAGTCTCCTGATCTGTGGTAACAGCAGCAGTTAGACCTACACCACTTGAACCTCGACCTGTTGTCGGTATCGCTCGAGGTGCGGTATTTAATACATACCGCAACAACTGGGACTTTGCCACACTTGGATCGCCTATAAGAAGAACGTTTATGTCACCTCGCAACCGAGTACCATTTGGCAATACTTTTTCCACGCCTCCTAACAATAGACATAATATTGCTCTCTTTACGAATGTATGTCCGTGAATCGAAGGTGCCAAACTTTTGGATAGCAGATTGAAAATATCATTATTTTTAGCGAGTTTTTTACACATAATGATGTCTTCACGAGTAATATCCATGTTACTATCTTTACTTAAAAGTGAAATATTATTGGACAACAAAACTGTGCGAAAAGTTCCGGAAGTATAACCTCCAAATTTTCCAGGGAGACAACGGTAACTACCAACTATCTGTACACGATCCCCGGGTTTACAACGGTCTACCATGTCGTCGTCGCAAATAATATCCACAGAGCGTGGCAATTGACCTGCTGGGGCCTTTTCAGGCATTTCTTGTATTGTTATTGTTTGATGATCTTTATAAATTGATAGTCCGAATTCCGTCTCGAGCAAATTTCCTTCATCATCTTTTGTAGGGTATATGGCACTTGAGGGGATTGCTTCAAACGAAGTTAAATCTGTGTATTTTCTCTCCATTACTTTTTTTGTTGCTGGACAGTAATGTACACTTCGGACTACTTTTGGATGAATCAAAGAGACCTTTGTAACAATACCTTCAACGCATACTAAATTTCCTAAGTAGCTATTGAATAAACACAAATATCGTATGTAAATAAGTATGTACAAAACATATGTAAACGTGTAGAGCATATGAGCAAAATACCAATAATATAACTACTTAGCTTACACAGATGTTAGTGAACGTGGTGTGACATGCCGATTTCCAAAGCAACCTTCAAATCCAACAAAGAAGTCCTCATGTTGTTTTGCATAAGAAGGATCTACGGTAGCAACATATTCTTTAAGTGCTCGTCCAAAAGCCAGCTGCTCGTCGCATGCGTTGGAAAGGAGACCTTGGGCACGCTGGGCATTCTTGCGCTTCAGATCGTTGATGTTGACAATCAACCGACGGCTCTTTTCCGCAACCATGTCTTTAATTAATCCTGAATAAATACCTTGATCTTCGTCATCATCTAAAAAATCGATGTATTCACGCTGTATATCCCGAATATAATGTTCAGAATCCGTCATAATCGAATTTTTATTGTTATAAAAAAGCAGAATTATCTGTGGCAAAGAAATATCTGTTTCCCCAAGTAACAAAAGTTACGATATCCAATCAAATGGCGCGAATTTGTTAGTATTTAGCGCCTGCTACACGCTCAATATTTTAAGCAGGCATCACACGTTATGTATATTTGTACAGATTTGCACATTTTGACAGTTGTAGGGGGTTGCGTTATTTTGATCTGAACTCATCCTCGATAAAAATTCCACTTCTTGGTTTTGTTTTTTTTTTGTTTTGGTCCAGAGGTTGTTTGATATACCTCTGGACTTCGTCTGTCAGTTCGTAAAGATGCCTCCTGACGTGCCGTGGCGAGGGCTCCCAGCGAGGAACTGCTTGCAGAGCATTATGTTATGCTCCTTTACAGGGAGCATCTGGGCCTCGTCATGGAGGTGGTGTTGAGGCGTCAACAGGAGGCATCCTGTCGCAGTTCGTAATGCCGTGTTTTGGCAGGTCTGCAGTTTCATCCACTGCGTCCTGCTAGTCCCCGGCGACCATACGAGCGCTGCGTAGTTTAGAACCGGTCGGCCAAATGCCTTGTATGTTGCCAACAACGTTTCTTTATCTTTGCCCCAAGTGCGGCCGGCCAGCGACTTGAGGACATTGTTGCGGCTCTGTACTTTGTTGACAATTGCGGTTGTATGCGCCGAGAAGGAGAGCAGACTGTCCAAGGTAACTCCGACGATTTTCGGGTTATTCACCGTCGGTATTGTTACGCCATCGGCGTGAATACCCAGTGGCAGTCTGACCTCCTTCGTCCAGGTGGTGAAAAGGGTTCCCGAGCATTTCACAGGGGATAGGGCAAGGCTCCTTGCAGTGAAGAAGCGAGAAAGTTCGGAGAGGTAACCGTTTACTTTTGAGCACAAGTCATCAATTCCATTCCCAGACGACATGATCGAAAAATCGTCAGCATACGAGACTATATTAACACCCTCTGGTGGCTACGGAAGCTTTGATATGTAATAATTAAACAGTAGCGGGGACAGGACACCACCCTGTGGTACCCCTTGTTTAACTTTACGTGGCTTGCTAGTTTTGTGTCTAAAGATTACTGACGAGTGTCGACCACCCAGGTAATTCGCCGACCACCGTTTGAGTCCCTGTGGGAGTGAGGAGACCTCTATATCTTCTCGTAGCGTTGAATGACTGACAGTGTCGAACGCATTGGACAGGTCCAACGCCACTAGAATTGTTCTCTCACAGGGGCGGTTTCGGTTTAGGCCACGAGTTATCTGAGTGTTTATGGCGTTAAGTGCTGTTGTTGTACTATGCACTTTACGGAGCCCATGTTGATGCTTCGGTGGGGTCAGGTGGTTCGTGAAGTACGGGAGCAGCAGGGCCTCGAGTGTCTTCGCTACCGGGGAAAGGAGAGTAATTGGGCGATAAGACTCTCCTTTGTTGGCTGGTTTCCCCGGTTTGAGCAGTGGGACCACTCTCCCCATTTTCCAGATGTCTGGAATGACGAGAGTGGCCATAGACAGGTTGAGGACCTCCGTTAGGTACGCTACTCCCGCAGGACCCAAATTTTTCAGCATCAACATGCATATTCCGTCGGGTCAATTGGCTTTGGAGACTTTCGCCTCCCCGATGGCTACCCTTACCTCACCGCTGGTGAAAACAAGAGGCGCACTAGGTTTTGGCATTTTGTGCAGCCTTCTGGTCACTCGACGTTTGGCTTTATCCACCGGAGGATGCGGAATGAACTGCCGGCTAAAATAGGTCGCGCATCTCTCCGGGTCCGACGAAGCGTGGTCACCAAAGTCTATCTCGACTCTGTCGTCGCGCTTCGTCGGGTTGGACAACGACCTCACGGTTGACCAAAGCTTGCTCACACCAGAGGCGAAGTTGCAGGTCTTCATATGCTCTTCCCATTTCTTCCGCTTATGTACGTTCACAAGTTGCCGAATCTCCGAATTGAGATCCTTAATACGGGGATTCCCGGGATAGGCCTGACGAAGGTTGTCGCGCTCATCAGCTAGAACAGCCGCTTCGGCAGGAAAATTCGGACGTGGATCCTTAATACATCCTGCTGGGATGAAGCGAGCTGCAGCAACGTTGACAACCCTGCGGAACTTACGTTCACCTACATGAACGTCGGTTGGTATGGGTAGTGTAGTGAAGGCGCCCTCAGTAACATACGTGAAGCCTTTCCAGTCAGCTTTGGAAAAGTTGACATAAGTCCGGTGATCCACGGAAGCAAAGTCGGCAGGTTTATCAATTGAGATGACTATGGACAGATGGTCTGATGCTACAGTCAGCATAGGTCGCCATGATACGCTGTTTATCAGACCAGCGCTGACAATTGTTAGATCTGGGGAGCTGCAGCAGCTGCCCATAATTCTGGTGGGTGCGTCGTCGTTCATTGTGCAGAATGTCGAGTCGTCTATCTGCTCAGCCAGATGTATTCCCCTACGATCATTTGACAGGCTTGAGTGCCAAAGATCATGGTGCGCGTTAAAGTAATCAACTACCACACGGCTTTCACCTCTGAGTAGCGCACCTATTTCAGGGTGATATCCTGCCGGGCAGCTGGTGACAGGGGGTATGTATACGTTAAATATTTCGAACTCAACATCGCCTGACCGGATAGCAATACCCTGACATTCTAGGATGGTATCCCTGCGGTCGATGGCTGCCTTAATGAGACGATACTGCTCGGTGTGGTGCGTGATAAACGCTAAACCTCCACCATTATCTCGCTCGCGATCTCGACGGTATCCGGTCAAATCTACATCTATTCTATAACTTACAAGTAACGTACGTTCTCTTGGTTTTTATCAGATTCCATTTTGATTTTCATTCTATATTGCCGCCAACAATATTATGCGTAGATAATATTTGCAAACTGTCAAATTTTACCTAGGTTGTGGACTCAGTATCAAAAATTTGACAGTTTGCAAATATTATCTACGCATAATATTGTTGGCGGCAATATAGAATGAAAATCAAAATGGAATCTGATAAAAACCAAGAGAACGTACGTTACTTGTAAGTTATAGAATAGATGTAGATTTGACAATTTCAATAACACGCAAAATTAGAGCTTCGCACGAGCGTGTGTTTGGGTTTCGGCACAGTGAGTATGTCAAAATATGGATAATGTTGCCGCCAGAAAGATTTAGCGCTGAGGGAAACGTAGCTGTCAAACTAGTAATTTATCGCAATAGATGCCAAGATATAAGCCCCGATATGTATTACTCTCTATATTCTAACATATGTGTCAAGATATAAACTCCATCCTGTGAAGACGGGCAATTACAGACAATTGTCACAAACTATCACTAGCCTCCTCTGGAAAGCGACAACTGCCCGCAAGGAACACAGCTATCGTCAAAATGGCAGACCTTCCATGCGGTTTTAGCGTTGCCGTACACTCTAGAAAAATATGAGATGACGAAATTTCTGACATGCTACCGGGTGCGCTATAAGCCGAAGAATAAAGTATTTACGTTTTGTGCGGCGAACAGTAACCCATAACAAACCTGCTTCACTTCCCGACTCGTCACGGAAGCGAACAGGAAAAAGGGTTTACTGTCTCCACAAGGCGTCCGCAAGAGAGTTAGGTGGTAAAATCGCAAGAACGTGGAGCACGACTCACCCATAAGATAAAGTCTCAAAAAATCAGTAATTAGCCAGGCAAAAACAAATTATACTACTCTGTAGTTCGTCAGGTATAGGTAGAGTTCGTCAGACGCAGTATTTGTAGCTTATTAAGGTTAGTTTGATATTACTAAAATACCGAAGTCAACGCTTTACTATTTTCCGCGTCAGTATTCGATGGTAATGCTGGGTGGACTCGTTATTGTGTAGTCGGTCTCTGAAACAATACGTCTACTGATTTAGTTAATACTGAGCCAAACTCCTAATATTCTTGCATTCGTAAAACAATGAAGGGGTTTCAGTAAGTCAGGGTGGTTTCCGTAATTCTGGTAAAGAAAAAACATAAATAAAAAATAGCATATTCGACTCGGAACTCAATCCCGGTTGTGTGACTAAGTATGGGTTGATATAGCGTTCTTTTCGAAATGCTTGAGTTAGAATTAAACCGAGTAAACTCTGGGAAAATTTCAAGTCCGGTGTTGCGGTAGTTCTCTATTGCTTTAGGCCAGAGAAGCCTACCACCCAAACTGCCGAACTTAGTCGGTCTTAACACTAGTTCAACACTGCTAAGACGAACACAGGGCAGGCTGTCCTGAAAAGGACACTTGGCCGCCAGTTTATAGCCGTCCGGCAGCTGGGAAAAACGTGTATATATATTTATTTTGTTTCCTATTCATTATAGCTTTGCGACACAAGAGACATTTTCTTAAAGGAGAACTCATCAAAGCTCCTAAAAGACAATCGAATGGGAGTGCGGATTGTCAGGCAGTTCACGACTGCCGGTGGGAGCGCGCGTGAATGTCCTATGAATATAGATGCTCGAGGAGGAATACTGGACGGTTTGTCCCCGACCGCCAAAGCGCCCAGTGAAAAGGACAGTAAGAGACAAAAAAAAATTAATCTATTCACATTTGTTGGCTAGAGTTAGCCACCCCCCAATTGCCGAACTTAGTCAGTCTTCACAGTACGACCCCTCCGGTAGTCCAGTAGCACGTTTCTGTTCCGCTTCTCTACCTGGGCCTTGTTCTCTACTGCTAATGAGTAGTAGAGAATGACGTATATTCTCTACCAGCAGAGGAATGATCGGCAGGGAAGAGTTACAGAAGCGAGTTACAGCCCTTCATGACTTAGCTTCGAGGAAAAGCCATGCAAAGTTGGACCCCGGGCAGTCTGCGGGCGGTCAAGGTTTTACCCTATCGCTAAGTTTAATATTGGAAAAAACGTGTATATATAAAAATTTAAGAAAAACGTGATTATTAATTTTGGAATAAACTACTTTACTTTCGGATCGCTCTCCGTGACAGATGACACTGTCACGGCCGGATGCCAGATGCATGGAACCTCCCGATCGGTTTGCCATTCAAGTCTCTTAAATCGTACAAAGCATTGCCTACCTTTCGCAGAACACGACACTTAATATATTTAGGCAAGAATTTAGCACTTATGCCTTGCGTAAAA